CATCTAGAAAACTTTGGAGAGGAGGACAGAAGGGAGTATAGTGAGAAACCCATATAAATGTAATTAAGGGCAGTGTAGGGGAAGGAGAAAAGATTTCATTCATGTCTGCATCCTGGGAGCTGAAGGAAAAGGATAAAGAGAGAAATGAGCAGGATAAAAATTTAACAAAAAGGCTAAGAAAAGGAAATCAGGAGACAGATTTGAACCACAAAGCTTGCATGGTTTATGACCAGTGTTAGACATGGTGCTGTTCTTCACAGATGTCCAGGTAATGGTTAAATTGTGCATAACTATCGCTTCTCGGCCTTTTGGCTAAGATCAAGTGTAAATTGTGCATAACTAATTCAACTGGTTGAGCCAAGTTGCTTAGATACTGCTGGTGTAGCTAATCTGGTGTAGCATGTTCACATATGTGTGCACATGTACACACACACACACACACACACACAGCCCAACACCATTGTCTTGTTAAGTATGAGGTCACTTTCCTATTTCTCATTCAGGACAGGGAAATTGGTTGTTGAAAACAAAACAGCAGAGAATTGAGAAACAGTGATGAAGCAGATGACATAGTGTTTATTTCTATGAATCACTAGATTAAAGAGATTAAGTTCAGAAGATAATAGAAGTATGTTTATGAAAAATATGATCATGAAATTCTGAGAGAATGTTGGAAACACCAAAAATTGCTTCCATGAGGGTCTCTGTGAGGAACTGCAGTCTCTGTGGCAAAATAGGACATTATTTCTCCATTGCATTGATCCCAGTAGCTCCCATATTTCTGGAGAACTTGATGTTAGCAAGAGATAGCAGTCCAGGACATAAAGATATAAAGTGTGCCATTTTCAGCAAGGAACACAATAAGTTTCCTTCTGACAGCTTTTCTGGTGACTTAGCTTATTTGGAAGGAGAGGCCAGATCAGAAGAGGTAGACTTAGCAGAAATTTTTATATGATAATTTCATCCGATCCAACCATATAAGGGACACATTTTCCAGGGGAATTTCTTGATAAAATCAGGTGTACATTTAAGGGTAATATACTTTTCCTGAGGAGTGTCTGGGTATGGAGCCATTGAAGTGTGGGCATAAATTTAAATAAATCCTAATTATAGGCACCACATAGGCAGGTCTGGTGGTTTGGGGTTTTATAGAAAAGTATATCAAAGGGAAGCCAGAGGTTCTTTGGGCATTGGCAGATTTATTTATGATTCTGGAGAAGCCCCCATTAGGGTGTTTCTTGGTGGTCTGATTCACTGTGAACCCCTCCAATTGACTTTGTATGGAAAATACCTGTGAGTCCAAATCAGCCAGACCCTCCAGTTTCAAACACCAAATTAGAATAGTAAAATAGGCCAATACTTTTTCATAAATTTATGAGATAGTTTCAGAAAACAAAGTCAAAATCAGCCAACAAAAACTTTCCCAGGTCATTAAAAACTTAGACCGTGGAGCCCCCCAAATAGACTTGTTATCTATGTCTGATGAGATAGGGCAGCATTCGCTCACATCATCTGGAACAAACAATTTCCCCTCAACTGGCATTTGGAACATAACTGGAGAGAACCCATGTTAAATTTAGAGTAAAGGAAGGAAGGTTGCTGTTTTGTTTGTTAAGACATTAATTTGTCTGCAACATATGAGAAATTATGCACCAGAGGCAGGGTCTGGAAGTGCAGAATGAGACGGAACGATAGGAAGAGCCATCGATTCTTCAACATGAAGGTGATGATGAATCTTGATTCAATCTTTAAGATAGATAGCCTTTCCTTGAGAATACCTATGTCTGGGTGTTTGTATCCGACTGTGTTTCGTCTGACAGTTATCCACAACAGGAGACAACATCAGCATACCAAGGTTGTCTGGGAGTGAGGAGAGTTATAAGAGCCCTGAAGCCTATCCTAAACCCTGGATTTCCAGATCATCCAGTTCATCCACTTTCCATTCTTTCCCTCAAACTATGGGTTGAACATCCTTAATCCAAAAACTCTGAAACCTGATATTCACCAAAGTCGGAAAATTTTTGAGTACCAGTATGATGCCACATGTGGAAATTTCCACAATTGACTGCATATGTTGGTCACGGTCAAAATTTGTCTTCCATTCTTATACTCTAGAAAAGTCATCTCAATATGTAATTCCAGGTCTACTTCTCCCCACTCAATATTGTGATAACCTGTGATTATCCCCAAATTGCCATTAATTATATTATATATTAAATCCTAATGTTAGAAGTTAATGATGCTAATTCAGTAGTTTTAAGCAGATTTTGTACCTGAGAGGCAAGTTGTAGAGAAGATCAACCAGGAGGAAACGGGTGTCAGAGTATAAATGTGCACCCCACTCCATAGCAGGGGGAAATAGCTTCTCTTCTGATCAAATGCTCTACAGCAAGCTGATCTAGTCCAGGAAAGGGGCAGGTGTAGTCCAGACAAGAAAAGCCAGATTCTATCATTTGATAGATAGGGACTATCTAATCAACAGGTATTGGGATTAGAAAAAAATGGTTTTATAAATTTAAATCTTTATCTTGTTACAAATAATTTGTAGGAGGTACATGCATATATATGTAGGTAATCAATCCAACAAGGTATTTATTTGGAATAAGTATTTCACGGCACTTGGAATACTCTCGTGAAATCTTTATTAAAGAGAAAGTATTTCGACACATAAATACATTAAATACATAAGTAACAAAGCTAGACCTCAACTGTCTCATTTACAGTGATACCAATGCTTGCTGTATTTTTCACATCAGCAGTATTTTGGTGATAGATCTGAGTAGCCTCATAACAAGGGGTTGACATAGTAGATCTCAAAATGAGTGTAGATAACCCAGTTACAGTAACCTCTGGATTTTCCTTCTGTGTGGTTTAGAATTGTAAAGTTCACCCCTAAAGCCAGATGCTTCCAGCACAGAGCAGCCACAACAGTCATCTAAACCCTCCATTTTCTTCATCTGGTGGAACCCAAAATGGTTATCATTTATCATTCTTAGCCAATGTCAGCATGCAAAATTATGGATTTTGTAAGAAAAAAAATGGCAACTAAGCATTTGCTTATTGAGAAAATGCCATATTTTGAGGCCTTTGGACTTTAGACACATACTCCTATAAATGAGTTTATGATCTTTATATTTATTATTTTTTTCCCAGAAAACGTCATGTAATTCTTTTTCTCTCCCCTTACACCGATAAAAGTGCTAGACTCAAGTCTACACAAGTTCTCAGTCGATCTCAAATTTTACAGAGCCTTGTAATAGAATTTAATCTGTAGATATCAGATTGGGATTCCTTTCAAACTTCTATGGAAAATAGAGCACTCAATTACTCCCAGTTGCCAAGGAAACAACATGAGTCCATAAGACCACTGAGCATGGGGCTAGTGTGGTCAAGGCTGGCCACTCTAGTGAGGCATATAGTTTCAGAAACCTATGCTCAAACATTCAAGTAATTTTATTTCCCACTTCAAGTAAAATATTTCCCTTTGATAAAACTAAATGAAATAAAATCTAGAGTAATTTGAATAAAGGAAACAATGATCTTCTTTAGCATTCCTGATTTTAATGGTATGAAGTCCAGTGTATGAAGATTTTTATTTAGACATGAACATTTTAGCTTGGTGAGTCAAGCAGATATGAATAAAATACAACATCATTGCTCTTTGCTCACAATGGGAATCTACAGTAAATTGAAAAAATAATTAAGGAAGTCTTCTGAATAAACCTCCTCATTTCTATTTTGAATTCTGCCTGGGGATGGCCACATAATCAGGCATATTTTGGTACCAGATTTCCATTATGCCTTTCCTTTTTGAAACTCTAAATAAAATAGATCTTCTATTCTGTATGAAAAGAGGTGGCTGTTTCTCCCTCCCACATTCTCCCTTCCCCCCTACTCCCTCCCTGTCCCTCTGCTACCATACCTAAGCACTATAGTCATGGAGTCATGGGTTGAGACATTTCCCTGTTGCCAACACATTTCTTAAAAGACAACGGAGGCTTGTCTCCCTGGCAACATGACTAGTGAAAACTTCTCATATGATTTACCTATCCCAGAGACAGGTAATAGGCAAATTCCACATTTGACAGTGTCATCTGTTTTAAAAGGAAACTTTCTAAGTCTTATCTGACACCAAGACTCCATCTGAAGCCTACCTTGGCAAATTCTAAATGATGTTTGGGTTAGTGAAGGATACAAGAGAACATTAGATGCAAATATTCTTCTGCATCTTATTGAGTCATGGCGGGTATTAGACCACACAGACATAAATATTTATGTTTACAGATGTTTGGATTTAAAATGAAAATGTTCTTTTCCTTTCTGTTTGTGAAGTTTGCTCTTCCTTTCAGGCCATATGTTACCTTCTTAAAGCCTATTCCTGCTGTGCCTCCACTGGCACCTACCCCATGTCAACACAATTTTCTATAATTACAGGTTTCATTTCCCTTAGAATATGTATACCACAGTGTTTGGTTATATATGTCTTTGTTTTCCAATAATGTATTCTCCACCAGACTGTGATCTTCAGGCTCTCAAAAAATATGTGGTGAATGAAGGAGACGCCAACTACAATTTTTTTTTTATTTAAGTATAATAAAAAGAGTAAAAGTACATGCTCATTTTTAATCTTTAATTTTGTGTTTAATAATAACATATATATTTTTGTAACCTAAATAATATTTGATCATAATTACATGGAAAACATATAAAAAGTCATTAATATATAAAGGCTTGAAAGCATGCTCCATACATAACCTCCCACCTTAAAACCTGAAATAGGTGTTAAGCAATGGTCAGCACAGATAACGCAAATGCAGAGCACATGAGTGATAACTATAAATGAAAGATGGACTGCCCAACTGGGTGATAAACACACAAAAGGCATGAGGTTTTCATCCTCAGGAGGACTTAAATTGATCACCCATCAGTGAAACTCACTCTGATCTCCCATGTCCAAGATAGATCTGCAAAACCTTAGGATGATCCTTGTGTTTCATCTACAGATCAAGATCCTGAACTTCTCTGCATGTCTTTGATTAGTGTATTGGAAGAGTCCCAGTCTTACCCGACAACATCTGCATGTGTGTATATATTTCTTTTTTGTTGTTGTTATGCAACTTCCCCACCTGTTGTCACTACCCAAGCAGAAGATATTCAAAAAAGGAAAGGGAAAGGGTGAAAGAGAGAAAGAGAGAAGGGAAGAGAAAAGGAAAATATGGAAGGAAGAGAGGGAGGGAGGAAGTAGGAGGAGAGGGAGGGGAGGGGAGGAAAGGGGAGACAGTTACCTAGCCACTGTGAAGGAAGCTCCTAGTTACTCAAGTGTATATGAAATGAATAAGCAACAGGGGAACAAATGGTAGACAATTACATTTTCCAGCTATCCCTAGTGTAGGCCAGAAAGATCAGCCAATAAGACTAAAATGCTTGGTCTGGGGTTGTAGATCAGTGGTAGAGTGCTTGCCTTGCACACGTGAGGCCCTGGGTTTCAATCCTCAGCCCAACATAAAAATATATAAATAAAGGTATTGTGTCCATCTACAAGTAAAAAAAAAAATTAAAAAAAGACTAAAATACTGAGTGCTTCTAGGACTTGCCCATCTTTACTTTATACTCTTACTGGTGTTACATGGAGATATCTGGGAAAATACAACTTGTACACAATCTTTTGGAGCCCAGCCCAGACTCCTGACACAGCTCATTGGAAAGGGTCAGGGACTCCTAAAGTGCCGGCTCTGCAGGTGAACTGAAGGTGGGGGTGGGCTGGGTGTTGGTTGCAGAGCTGTCTTTGTGGTTCCCCACCATAGGTGTTCAAGTCATGCAAGTCATGTGGTCATGGGATATGCTAGTGCAGACCCTTGTGTCTCATCAAGGTTAGTTATGATACACTAGCTGTGGTGAGTGGCTGCAGTGTGTGCAGCAGGCAGGAATTAAATAGGAAACAAAACAAGGGGCTATTCTTCCTACCGTTCACAAGTAACCATAAAGTTTTTATTTCATTTCTCTAACTCCCTTCCTTTAGGCTATACATTCCTAAATAACATAATAGGACTCCCTTTAATAGTATTTAGGAATTTCCTCTTTTCAATTCCAATGAAAATCCTATATATCCTAACTTTATACTCCACAAATATTAATGATCAATTAATTTATAAAACTCCCATATTTATGCATTCACTACTAAAAATGTCAGTTTTATCAACTTTTTGTTAGATCTTAAGATATCTGCTTTACAGGGTATTTTATTAAATCAGCATTTCACTTTTCCACTTGTGGTGCAGCAAAAATAAAAGTATTTAGGAAACGTCCATATTGCCGCAAATGCACATACAAACATGTTATAATGACTTACAGAACTCTGGAACTTCTTGGAATAAGCCTTGCCTTGGGCCACAAGAGAAACTCAAGCCTAATTATATGCTTGCTCACTCTATTTAAAAGCTTTAAATGCCCCAAACTTCAAATATTTGCTTGGATCTGGGAAGACTCTATAAAGAGCCAAAGTGCTTTCTATATAAATAGTCAAAAACCAATGGGAGCCCCTTAAACAGCTGCTCTGCGTAGTTAGTCAGGAATCTGGTAACAGGAGAACAATAGCTCTAGCACTGAATTTTTATTTAACCCACTTCACTGCTTAGTAATAATTTCACCCCAAATATTATAGCATATTAATATTGCAAGAAAAATTTGTGATATTCTGTCCAAATACTTTTTTTTCTACTATTGAACTATTTAGGGACAGAAAGTAGGTAATATACTGGCAGACCCATAGATATTTACACCACAGAGCCATGGATTTTATGATTCTTTGCCCAAAATCTGACCAGTGCCATAAAATTCCCTATAATTACAGGAGCTACTAGGAGCTACTGAGTAAATGGGCAGGAGGGCTAAAGAGAAGTTTGATACTCCCGTGTGCTTTGGGCTATCTTAAATTCAGCACAGAAGGTCTGGATTCTGGAAAAACCCTCAGTCCTAGACAAAACAGCATAGATATTAACTTAAAACTAGAGTAAGTAACTCCATTGACAGAGGGATTCAAGGTTTTCTAGGTAGCTCTTTGCTCTCCTGTAGAATCAGGAAGAAAGCTATTTTTAGGTTCTGGTTCCATGAGGAGCATAAGGTGATGGCTTTCAGAAGTGGATTCCTACTGCTTCTCAGCCTTTTGGTTAAGTCTAAGTGCAGAAGACGTTTCCTTAGTCCAGCTATGTCTGTCCCAGTAATTCAGTATTAAAAGAAGGAAGAAAGATTTGCCAATGGAAGAATGTGAGCAGTAACCATATGGAACATTATGTTGATGAAATGGAAGCATCCATTCCAACACCAGGGAATTACAGACAGAATAATTACCTCTTAAAAGTGTCCCTCGCCTAAAACTGTGTCTGCATGTTGTGCTTCATACAAAGGAGAATGAGACTTATTAATGGGATAAGTTGCTAATCGTCCAACTTTAAGAGATTATACTTGATTACTTAGGTGGAATCAATGCAATCACAAGTGTCCTTAGAGAAGGAAGAGGAAGAAAGAAAGGTCAGAACCAGAGAGAAAGCCTTGTGAAAAAGACTCTACCTGCCACTGGTGGTTTGGGAAATGGAAGGAGCCACTAGCCAAGGAATGAGGCAGAACTCAAGAAACTGGAAAAAAAAAAAAACAAGAAAAACAATTTCTTAGAAATCCTTCACAAAGACATGGCCTTAATAACACTTTACTTTAGCACAATGAGACCTCTTCTGGGCTTCTGGGCTTTAGAAATATAAAATAACTAATCTGTGTTGTTTTAAACCACTAAGTTTGTGATAATTTGTTACAGCAGCAATAGAAAGCTAATACACTACTTCAGAGAAAAAATAACAGAAGAAATCAAATTAAAATCTTCAAATCACATGGATTATTAAAGGAATTTAAAACACACAGTAGAAAGCAAGGGGAAAGAGATGAAATAAATTAACAAAGTTAAGATAGAACCCAAGTAAAGCACTTCAATTCTGGGTATGCATGTTCATATATCCTGTCCCTCTCTCTAACAGATCAGCCTCACCTCAGTCTATGGTTAAAAGAGTGTTGAGATTTGAAGAAACTGTTCATGGATTTAAGGTCCCCTGGACCAATAGTACACCTTACCAAGACATGGGAATGAATATGCCCAGCCACAGGTAAATGTCACCAATCTGTCTGATGAATAGCCAAGGAGGTTATTTGTGTTTCCTGGGTAGAAGGCATATGGGATCATAAAGGCATCAGCAATGGGTGGCCAAATTAAGACCTCATGCATATTGAGTGCTATGTGTATTCAAGGTACCCTGAATAGTTAATGTTTCTTGTGTATTTTATGTACCATGAATATTTAGTGCTCAGGTATTTCATGTATAATTCATATAACTCATGAATATTAATCACCTCTTGGTCTCTCTGTTCTGTCTACTATCTGCTTTCCTTACTGCTTACCACATGACTACTTATTAGTTACTTAAAACATCTCATAAACTTCATCCAGCTCATGTTTTCTTATCTTCCATGGTAGAATTACATACTCTCAAACAGTAGAATTAATGTGTGTCTTGTGTTCATCCCATGAAGAGGATGAACAAAACTTAAGAGATGTTTTAAGGCAAATCCAATGCAATGACATCCTGAGCATGTGCTTCAGGTTTTATCATCATGCCCATGTCTGTCACTCCTCTATATTCCTGAAAGAGCAACTCATAGGGAAACCATTGTTTTAAAGAAAAACACTTTTTTCTTTTCCAAATATAAAAGTTTACCTAATTTCTACCCCCATAAAACTCAAATATCAGAGAGATAGCCCTGGTCTCTTTAATCACTGGAAGTATGTTCTTATATTATTCAGCATAAAAAAACACACTCTGAACATCATTTCTTGTCCTTTGAGAGAAAATAAGGAACAGAAGAAAGGAACAAGAGGAATTTCAGGAGTGAGGATAGTTGTCACCTCTTGTCCCTGAATATCTCTATGACAACAGGCCATTTACTGTGACATCTTGAGTGCTCATCTTCCTCATGGGTAATATTATGAAGTCAGACTTGAGAATTTACATGACCACATCTGATTATATAAACTAGCTGCCATCACCTAGGCCTGCCCCTGGGTTCACCTAAATGTCAGAAGTTTCAGCCTATGACATGGCTTTTTCTGAGAGCCTTACAAATTCTGAAATAAAATTCATAACAAAAACAGGTCTCATCATCACATCTAACATTTAGCATATATAAAAAGAACAGAAAAAAATTAAACACTTTGCCTTTCCACCACTGACACATGGTTAATTTAACCTCTTTGATTTATAAGATCATGATGTGGATCATAGTGCAAATAGCTAGCAGATCTTCTAAAATCTAAAACAGAAAATTAAGGAACAAAATATGGCCACAGATTAGCCCAAAGCTACAATATAGAGACAAAGAGCAAAAGGTCCTCAATAGTCAGCAACCAACCTTTCCAAATAAATGGATATTGCCTTTTCTCTGACTCAGGGCAGTTATTCCAAAGCTTTGGTTTTGGCTGTGTTTGTCCTTGCTATTAGACCATTCTCTCTCATAGCTCCCAAGGTACATTTTAAAAACAATCCCTGTTGCCCTGATCTGCTCACTGACCTTTATTGAAATAACTGGACCAAGTTCTTATTTAAATTACTCTTCTTAAAATAAGACACCCACTTACTTTTGTTCTTCTTTAATCATATTTTATAATTTTTCAATCTTTTCCATTTTTATTTTTTGTTTATTTATTTTTTTTCTTTTCTCTAAATATGATTCTTAAAGAAGTAAAGGCCAGAAAGGGATTAATGGCCTGGTGAGGATCTGAGTAGACAAAGTCAATGAGCAGACACTCAAAGTGCTACAGATTGCCACAGATGTGCATAGCACCTGCTCCCAGGCTGGGCTAGTCACAGACTGAGTGTGACTCAGAGACCATGCCTGATAGCATCAGAATTTGTGCCTTTGCCCAATTCAGAGCTCAGAGCTTAACCTGTTACTCAAAAAAATTGAATACACTAAATCCATTTATATCTCAACTTACAAAATTTTCTTATAAACCAATCCATTGCCTGACTCCTTAACCTTCTCAGAAAGGCAGAAAAGGGGAAAAAAATCCAAACGCTGTGTACAAAAATGAAAAAAAATAAATAAAATGCAAAACAATGCTACCTCCAATATACCTTATTTCCAATTACATCTCCCATATCCAGTCCAATATGTCTCTTCTTTTATTCCTGACACCCTCCACAATGATTTTAAAACATAGACAAAAAGAAGTTGCACAAGGATTTTTCCTTATATAAAGGAAATTCTTTAAATAAAATACATTTTTCTGCTTTGATAGAAACTTTACACTTTGACCAAAATGGTATCATTAGCATTTGCCTCTTTCAAAAATCAGCACAAGCTGAAAATTCCCAGCTCTTGCCTTTCAAGAGACGTTTCTAACTTGTATATTTCTCACTCCACCTCCGCATTATCTTCCAGTTTTAAATTTTCAGCAGTAGAAATATGGATGTGACATCAGAAATACACAGGGATGCACACATAGGCAGCCGTGTAGTTATACATACAGTTGAATATAAGCCCGTGTCTTGCGTATTTTTGTATTTGGTGATGGTTGCTTGCACCAGGGTAAAGGTTTTTGATGCTTCTGATATTTCTGTCTTAGAACTGCAAAGTTAAAAATGAGCAAACACCACAAATTCGCCTTGCCTTTTAAGATTTTCCTGGCGTAAGATCAAAGGAAAGAGGAAGAAAAGCCCAAGATAAGGCTTAAAACTATGAAGCTTGCACAAAAGCATGGGAATTGAAAACTCTGTTTGTAGTTGAAATAACTCTGACAACAACTGCTGCATCCATAGAAACAAGGCCCGGGGTCTAGTTTGATTTTCAGGAATGAAAGAGAGGAACAGATGTTTCAGGTACTGAAAATGTATTTAGAATCTAAACTCCTAGACTTCCTGAGAACTGGCCTTTAAAAAACCTACATGGCCACACATGTATTTGAAGTCAGTAAACAAAAGCTGCAGGAGGGGGCAAGTCCACAGACCCTGTCTACTGGCATCGCTTTTGCAATAAAGAGAAAAGAGGAAAATTACTTAAGTTAATATATAAATCACATACACTTAGAGAGAAGTGTGAATTCCAGCTCTTTTAAAGCAAGTGTAAACAGAAAATCTTTTTTTTTTTCCCAGAGAGGTTGCTTCATAAACCAAACATGATCATACCCAGCACTGCCAGGCACCAGGACTATGTCATTTCACAGATGTCTCCTCAGTAATTTAGCCTGGTAAGGCTGCTCTTTTCCACTCCACCAGAACAATGCTCTGTACTGACCATCTGACCCAGTGTCTGAGAAAAACTGTTACTACTTGAAAGTCATAAAGTAACTATGTTTCACCTAAAATCGGTTTTTTTTTCCATGAATAGCTTTTACTACATACTTTCTGATGCACTTTTGAGAATTTGTAATATGAGTCTATAACTAATGGCTGAATATATGAGGCTTTAAGTGCAAACCGAATTAACACAACTCAGATTTGTCTGTGTACATAGTACACTTGAGATCTTGTGAGGCCTTTCCTTTGTTCTCTTTTGGTTTTATGGGGTCATACCTTTAATACCGGACACAAGAATTAGCTTACCTTTGAAAATACACCAACCCAGGATGGTTGATCATTTACAAAAGAAACAGTGTCCCACATTATTGCAAGTCTTTGAAGCAATGGATTTAGTTTACTAAGACCAATTTAAGGCAACATATATTGAAAAAGCAATTCAAGTAGCGAATGCTTTTCCCAATTCATTGGTAGTCATGTCAGATACAAGATTTCTTAAAAGAAAAAAGAAATGTTTCTATAGATTGAGCTCACAGTGACATTAGTTCTAATAAGTGCTGCCTTCAAGTTTGTGGAAGCAAGAAGATCTAGCTACAAATGTTTAAAAAGTATGTATCAATTATCTATATATTATAAATATAAATCAGAAATCAGAAAAAAACTCAGCAAGTGTCTGAGGGAAATTGCTTATAAAGAGATACCCATAAGTAAAAGATATGTGTGTGTGTGTGTGTGTGTGTGTGTGTGTGGAGAGAGAGAGAGAGAGAGAGAGAGAGAGAGAGAGAGAGAGAGAGGTTTTTATATAAGCAAGCTGTTGTCAATTGGAAAACATAAACAAGGACTGTGAATCATTTTTTTTAGCATAAACATTCAGATCTTCCACCTCCAGACCTCAGTTCCAAGTTAAAATGGGAAATCCCAAAGCTCCCTGGCCATGATTCTTCCCAGCCCCTGATGACTAGAAGCACATAGAAGGGAACAACGTGGGTCTTGGAAGAGCTTTCTGAGCAGCTGTGTCATGGGAGAAGGAGCTACTTGCTTTTCTAACCAGTGTCTTGGAATTGACTTTTGAATATCAAATTTAGGTTTTCCTTTACTTTCTGGTTTGCAGATTGTTTTTACCCAAACTAGGGAACAATTAGCTAGAGCAACTAAAAGAGAGAGGATCTGACATCCTTTATGAGGTGTTGTGACTTTTTACAAAGGAACTTGATCCCTTGAGTTACCCTTGACTTGCTTATTGTTGACAAAGCAGGAAAATCTCCACAGATGGTGAAAACAGTCTGAATGTGTGACTGAGGGCAGACAAGCTGATGAACAGGATTATTTGTGTGCCTCAGACTTCCAAATCATGGATCTGCTTCATCTTGGAGTGGCTGGGTCAATTTTGTTACCCGTCTTCTTGTACCCAGCTACCAAACTCTCCACACCAGGTAGAATTCCTCTTCTTCTCATTTACCCATGCAGATGACTTTCAATGTCAACATGCTGGGTGTCCTGCCTTGAAAATAAATTTGCACAGTACTGGGGTAATTTCCCTTTGGGCATTTTTCAGTGCCACTTCACACATGTCTTAGTTATCCTTCTTTTGACACCATGTTAGGCAAGTGGAGATATGACTATAGACTTAAAATCTGATATAAGCATAAACAGACACATTCATAAATATACAGATCAAAATCAGTTCTTGAATAATTTTCATAATTTATAAAATTTTGTTATAGACAATGGATGAGACAGGAGCTCTCTCAAAATGTATTATCATGAAAAATTGTCTCTTTTATAACAAATATAAACACAAATATTTGTATAAGAAATTTCTACCTGGAAACTGCTAGAAGAATATGGAAAATTATCCATCTCCTCTTCTCAGGCCTATTAATGTTTATTATGTAACATGAACATTGTTGGTATTATGCATGATTGACAGGTGAAGACCAAAACTCAAACAATGTTCTTGTATTAGAATATTTAGTAAAGTAATTAATAATATATTTATTCATCTCTACTATGGACTCATTTTGGAATCACTCACAATATAAATAAATTAGACAACTTTAAAATTATGTTATCAATGCTATTTATCAATATAATAATATTTGGGGTAACATGTGACGGTAGTTTATTTAAAGGACAAAACCATTTACAAGATAATTTTCACTTATAGTTAAATAAAATATTAAATATTTCTAAAATGTTCAATATTTATATTTTACATCAGGAATCTAAACTAAATTAGCACTTGCTTATAATGAGACATATCATGATTTTATTTAAAGTGCTCATGATTTTATTTGAACTGCTAAATGATGAGAAACAGTTTCTCTTTTTTCTTTCTTTATTACCTATACACAGCCTGCTTGGAACCTTACAAATTCAACAAAAAATTCACTTCAAGGAAACATCTTATTCATTTCTACATTGCCCCAAGTACATCACACAGAATTTTACACATATTTTATGCACAATGGACTCTTCGAATTGGGTTAATTTGTGTAGAAGAGACTTCTGCCTTACTCCAATCAATAGTCATTCAAGGGTAAAAGGCACTCAAAATATGTTTTCTAATAATGGTCCACTGAGTTATGGCTGGTTTTTCCTTCTCGGGGGAAGTTGTAGAACATCTGGGGATTGCCAGCTGCTTCTGCTATAAATAGTGGTAAAGGTTTTCTGCATCTGAGCATTATACGATTATCTCTTTGGGGAGCCTAATTTTATTGTAATCATTCCGCAGTTCATTTTATCGAGAATTCATATTCACTGTCAGGACTTGCTCTTTATCACTAAATAAGTGGTTTGCTGTTTAAATGTCCAGACAACAGAATAACCAGAAACATATCCAGCTCCAACACCACATTCCTTCCCTCTCCTACATAATACAGGGACAAACTTGAGAATTTCATACATTTTAAAGTCTCCTATTAAGAGCTATATGTGTCACAACTTTCTTCTAATGTTAAACTTTTTAAAATTGCAGAAAGACACTTTTTATCAAGTGTACATAAGTGTCTATCTGTCTCATCTATCGTATTAATCCATTTATTCATTTAGGTTTCCATTAAGTTTTTACAGTCTTTCACTGACTAACAATGTCTAATTTCATTAAGCCAAATGACAGTTTCTTACTGATTAATTCAGATAGTTTTAATGGAAATATAAAAAAACATGTAGTTAACAAAAAGAAGTATCCAATTAATACTTTTGTTAAATGACAATTTTTTATGTTGCCTCATAAAGATACAAGGAAATAAAGAATTTGGAGTGTTTTAAAGAAAGTCATAGCATTTTCAAACCAAGGGGATTAGCTAAGTCATAATTGAAATACTTCATCTAAATCTGCTCCATTTTTAGACAACATTATATTAGTATATGCAAAATTTACTGAATATTTATCAAACAATCTTGTAGAGGGTTTTTTGGGGGGATATACATATGTATAAAAATAAGTTAATCTTGCCCTTGGGCCAAATTACTTTAGATTTTGTATGCTTTTAATATATTCTTTAATACTAATTTGAGAAACCTAGGACACTAATGTGACAAAATTAGTACCACCATTCAGTATTAGGACAAATACTGAATCAGTTTTAAAGGAAATTCTCCAGAGAAGCACGAGAATGAAACATGACCAGACTAGAGGTAAATGCTTCCTGAATGGTATGAGCATGTTTAGTCACTAGTAATTTCAGTTCAGGTGCTTACTACATTTAATGCTATCTACACCTTACAATATATTGCTGTGTTAAGAATAAATTCAATTGACAATATCTGTACAAAATCAAGGTCCTTTTGCATCTTTGCATTTTGTTAACACAGTGCTTACAATCTCCAGAAAGGATATTAGACATTCCAAATGGCAGGAGTAACTCTCAACTGGGAGTGTGTATCAAAATCTAAGTACACATTTTGCTTGGTCCCTTCTGTGTGATCACTTTATGGCTCTTTTGGTTAGATTGGAGTGATGTTTTGGGAATCTTATTCTCACCTAAAATTGACTATGTACCAGAAAAAATTTTTGGAATCTTCTGGCTGTGTCAACCATCCTCAAAAGTCCTTAAGTCTTATCTGCAAAAAAAAGCAATAGGATCTGCTCTGTCTTGTTCCAAACAAAAACAACAACAACAAAGACAAAACAATAATTGCTAGAGCACTCATTTTTTGTCAGGCATAATTTTAAGAGCTTTGCATACAGTAGCTCACGCCTTATAAAATGCGTGCTTCTGGTGGGTCTCAGTTGTTTCCATAAATAATAATCTCTGCATATTCTTAGGGGAGCCAGGAGGGCCCTGGGACTATCATAGACCATGAGCTGAACCCCCCAGACTGTACCCATCATGACTACTTTATAATTTCACCTCAGAAGGCTGTAGAATTACTGAAACTCTTTCTTCACATAATAAAAGGAAATAAAGCCCCACCCAGTGGCTCAAGCCTATAATCCCAGTAGCTCAGGAGGCTGAGGCAGGAGGATCACAAGTGCAAACCAGCCTCAGAAACTTAGTGAGGACTTAAGCAACTTTGAGAGACCCTGTCTGAAATTTAAAAAAAAAAAAAAAATTGAAAGGGCTGAGATTGTGGCTCAATGTTTGAGAGCCCCTGGATTCAATCCTTGGTACCAAAATTTTTTAAAAAAATAATAAAAATAAAAATAATTTTAAAAAATAAGTAAAGATGAAAAACATTGCTTAACCAATTCAATTTTACCTTAACCTTACTAGGTACATATCATTAATATCCCCATTTTACAGACAGATAGCTTGAAGCTCAAGCATGTATAGGATTGGGTAAATAATGTGTTTTGTAAATAAACTTTATATTATTTACAATTTGGAAAAAGGTGAAATTATTTCTATGCACTGATTTAATAGTAAATATATATGCCAATATAAAAAATATTAAAGCAAAAAGTGAACAGAGAACAATTAGGCATTCACCAATGTCTTTTAACAGTACATGAATTTTATATATCCACTGCTCAAGTGGTTGGATAGAGTAAATATTTATTGTATTTTTAAATATTCCTCATGTCTGAACTATAACTAAGCCAATATGGTGATTCTTCCAAGGAGAAGTAATTATGTACCCCAAAATCTATAGATGACTGTCAACAATAACTGATCCTTTAGATGAAATGAAAATGGCCAGTTCAATATTGGGAGATGGAAGGGAAATATTGGTCTATTTTCTGAAGATGAGTTTATTTGTTTTAATTACTCTTTTTTCAAGTTGATACATATCTTAAGCCACCTGAAGGATACTGCTGCTTCAAACCCACCCTCACTGACTTAGGTTTTAAGGTCATTTAAACTAAGTAGACTTTAAACTCCATTACTATTTTAATGTACTTCCACAAGTCTTGAACTTTCCTGAATCAAAAGGTCAGACACCACTCTGAGGTTCTTTTGAATTA